AGTTCCACAGGACCATTGGGGGAGAACCGCAGGAATCCCTTTGCAATGAGTGGTTAGCCCTTGAAGAAAAGGAGTAAAAGTTGTATCGCCAATATTTATTTGATCGAGAAGAAATTGACGGATGACAAAACATCTCGTTCCTTTGGTGGGGCGGTGTGGTGCCTTTTGGATTCATCAGCTCGCCAGTCTTTTGTCTTTCTACCAGGCAGTGGTTTCCCGACCTGCTACGTCTGACCATAGTATATGGGGCCACGAGGATTAATTTTGTGACGTGGACGCCTGGGATGCGCGACGAAGTGTTTTCAGTATAAAACGTCGTGTTGGGAAGATGGCTTTATAAGGAACTGCTGCTCATGGAGACTTTTTAAGGATTGCCGTGTGGAGAAGAACCCAAAGCCGCCATCCTGGATTTGGGGACCGCATCCAGAGACGCGCCAAAAGAAAAAAAAAAGCAACAACGATTTGTGCAAGGCAGCCCGTCACGTCACAATCGGGGAAAGGGCGCCCAGCGTGTGTGAAAAATAATAAAGGCTATGCAGGGGAAAACAAGGACAGTCGTTCACGCAGGACCAACGGCAGCCGAATATGGCATTGGCCGTTGGTTGGTGACTCGGTTTTGAAAAAACGTGTGCTCCCCGTAAAGCCCACCCAAACCTCAACGCAGTGCCTGAGCCATAGGGCCACTACTGTCAACAAGCCGGCGCCATGATATCTTTGATGTTGAGTAGTTTGATGGACACACTGCGTCTCGGGCATATCGGACACCAGGGGAATGTGGAAGCCAATCCCCTTTTTTCAAGGTCAAGTCATTATTAAATGCACAAACCGCCCGCGCGCGATCTTGCGTGAAGGAAGGGGAGCATTTACCTTTACTTCAAGTCGGCGCGGCTATGTCACCCAACAAATGGACATGACGTCGGCTTAAGTTTGGGCGCGCAACTTGTTGGATGAGGTGTGGGCCACCGCATGATTGCTTGCCGTCCTACCTACAATAGTGCAAGGGCTGAATTTGTGGATCACGGAGGAAATTACAGTGCTTATGAAACAGGCAGGCATTATCCGCACAGCTTCGTACAAAACCGCCGGGCATGGTTGGTACCGTTTGTGATTGTTAAAGATAAGCCTTCAACGGAGGGGAAATGTTTCTTTGCAACGGCGAAGGCGAAGAACGAGCAAAAAGACCATTAACCCGTTGTTCCATTGGATTGTATTTCTCGTCATCTAAACGCGGCAAATGTCCACACAGTTGCTATTTGCGACTCAGGCCCCCTTTTTTTTCCCCCACGAGACATATTGGGTGGAAGACATGCGTGCGTGTTTACGTAACGTAGTTGAACGACACTTTGGGGGGAATTTGTGAAGTTTGCTCTCCTCCAATTCGGCTACGATTTCAGCCCCAGTATTCTTCAAGCAATCACGAATAGTTTCGTGGGAAATCCCGTGATGGTACGACCACAGTTTGCGGGTCGTCGAGAGGTGCCATTTTTCCCCTGGATTGATAATGCCGGCACCAGTAGTGCTCAGAAGATCGCGGCTCGGTGAGGCCGACGCGTAGCACAGAAGATGCGTTTATTCATCACAACGGTTGGAAATTAACAGGCTGTCGCGAAAGAAAGAAAAACATAAGTTCATGAATGGCTTTTTTGTTGTTTAATCAGGAGACTCGGAGGGTTGCTTTGAGTGCAAAAGACAAATCAAAGGCTACAGGAAACTATGTGTCCCCGTGCGGCTGCGGTAAAGGACATGCGGGTGGGGGCCACGGTTTTGAGTGCAAAGCGGGGTGTGTGCGAGGGTATCCCTTTGCCAGCATCATTGCCTTCTGAAGCTTGTGCGTTGGCGGCTGCCA